AATTCAGGCCTGTTAGCTTAGCTTAGCTTAGGCCGAGCAGAGCCGCACTGGTCCCCATACAGACAGGACAGGGATCAGCGCCGCTTTGTGGCTATGTATTTCGATTGTATAGCTGTGTAAGATGCTGTATAGGTTTGAAGCATTTGAATTCAGGTGCCCCTCGTCAGCTGCACCACTGAAGCGGACAGTTGCTAAGCATACAGCATTCGTGAGCCTCCTTGGTCATGTTGGTGCTATTGCGCTGGTGGGAGGCACCCCATCCTTTGCCTTGAAGTCATGCCACTGTGTGCCACAGAGCTCTTTCGGCGTGACACGGCGCTCTCTCTCGTAGCATAGGCCGATGTGAATCGAGCAGTTGCTGCTAGAGTGCCTCTCTGTGTAAAAGTTTCTGTCTACGAATGGTGACAGAGGTGTGAAAGCCCTGGAAAACGGTTGAGGAAGTCAGTTTGCACATACGACTCTTTCTTCACCGACAGCGAAGGGTTGGATCTATCCTTTGCCGAACTGTTCAGCCGTCAGGTCCGGAGGTACGCCACGTGATGGTCGGCGGTATCCTCAGCTGTCTACGGCTTCATGGAAGTACATCATTTACTGTGGAGTCGCCTCCCACAAAAGGGCGAGGAGAGAAATATTATCGATAAAAATTCTAGAATATAATGATCGAATTGGAAAGAATAAGAAAATGAATTTCAAATTAAAAAAAAAGGAAAAATTATTTGTATTTTAAATATATTTTCATATAGAATAGAAGAAATAATTTAAATAAAAAATAAGAGATAGATATATATATATATATTTCTTTTGCAAAAAATTTAATTATATATATATTTTAAATAAATTAAAATATAATATGAATATATTAATAATTTGAATATATATAAGATTTATAAATTTAAATATAAATCGAAAATTATAGAAATTTATATATTTGAATTCTATATGAATTTAGAAATTTTCTGTAAAATTGAAATCTCTCTCATAATTCAGCTTTTCTATGAAACAATTAATTATTTTAATTTAATAAGGAATCTATAAATATGCCGATTTCATAATTTATATATATAGAAATTCAGATTCGAAATATAATTCTTTAGGCTATAAATTTCGAAGAAATTGATGATTTCGGAATTATTATTCTATTCCATTTTAATATTTTAAAGAAATACTAGAATCTTATTTTCTAATGGAATTGAAGAAATAGGTATATTCGGAATTCGGGGTTTAATTAGAAATATGAGAATTTGAAAATTGGTAAATCAAGATTCGAAATTCAGAAATTCGAAAAAATGAACTCAGATTTACGAATTTCGAATAATTTGATGATTTAATTATATGGGAGTTTCAGAAAATGGGGGGTACCTTATTTTGGGGTTTTTATAATAGGGATCTTACTATTTAGGGTATTATATTAGGGTCCCCTATTTTCAGAAACCCCCATATATCTTAAATAAATATATTTTGATGTTTTCTTTATTAATTTTTATTCTTTTCTTGATAAGCTTTCAATAGAATCAACGAATTATTTTTTGCTCGATCATAGAAATTATTTAATACTAATATGAATAATATTAATAATAATATTCAAATAAAATAAAAATTAATCAAATTTATTTTATATTTTTTATATGAAATCTTGAAGATATAAAAAGAATATATAATAATTTTATATTTTAGTTATATTCATATAAATCAAATATATTTAGAATTATCAAACCTAGAATTATGAAAATGTATTTTTTTTATTAAAGCTAGAATTATGAGGATAAATAATTTTCTTATATGAAATTTCTTAATAAATTAT